ACACGGACTGAATGAGTCCATCTTCGGCTGTCGGACGGACTCCCCGAGAGCACGAGACGGGTGCAAACGGACCAAACACACCTTTTTGCGATTCAAAACACCTTCAGCATCTCCGCCGACGGTGTTGTAGCCGAGCCGGGTGAGCCTGACGCCGGGGAACCAGTCGTCTCGCAGGGAGGTAGGCTACAGACGACTTATTACTGTGCCACCTTCGGGTGGGCGCGTTAAAAAGGTGATTACCCGCAACCGACCGACCGACCGCCCATGCGTCGGTACCGCTGACGGCCGCGGAGCCGCGCAGGCGACTGCACCTGTTGTAATCTCCCTAAATGTGTGTGCGTGTACCTACTATGTGTCCACAGCCTGGATAAGATGTGCTTCTTCTTTTTTTCAACAACGCACTTGTGTTTATTTGCGTTCAGCAGCTACCCGACTGTATTTCAACTGCTGCTGGAAATCTCTTTCCAGCTGTTTTTCGTGCGCGTCAGTGCGCGCTGCGTGGGTTTGATCGGTGTGATGGGGTGATTATAGGTCCGCCGCACGCGCGCGCTATCAGTGTAATTACAGTATAATTGTCTCAGCACACAGTGGGACGTACAGCACTCCATCAATATACATCATGCTTTGACGCTTTTCGACCTGTTCACGGTGGCAGCTCACGTAGTGTTTTGTTTGTGATAAACGGGGACTGGATGCAGTCAAAAGCCCCGTTGTGTTCATTCTAATTGACAGATGCTATAAAACTTCAAAGCGATACAACGTGATCGCCAAATGTCACCTGCCAGACGTGCATATATATATATATACGGGACCCGCCTGTGCGCGTGAGGAACGCAATGCGTTGTGCATGTTGTTGTTGGAGTGCGTGCGTGGCATCGTCCAGTGTGAGTGCGCGCATTCTTGCAGGGTTGAGCGCATGTTTTTGAATATTTTCGTTCTCGGTCGCCACATTCTCAGTGCAATGGGACTGAGAATGTGGAGCCAACTTGGAGCATCGGGCGCTGTGAATTCAGCTGCGCCAGATGCGCGCAGTGTGGCGCCTCGTTGGAGGAGGGGGGTGGGGGGGGGGGGGGCGGCGGCGACGGTAGGACTCGAGCTCAAGTACCAGAGCTTTCCAATTGGCGTGGCGTGGTCAGGTAGAGCGTGTTGGATGACCCAGGTTGACCTCCGGAAGAAACATCGGTAGGCAAAAAGGTGGGCAACCCGTAGCGCCTGGGTTGAGGACATGTTTTCAGAGTACACTCAGAGAGAGACAGCTGTGTAGAGGCGGCCTGTCTTGGCCCAAGGTGACTCCAAGAGGACGCTGAAAACGTGACATTGGGCAGAGACAGAAAGGACAGTTTATTGGATTTCCATTATTGTTTTTTAATTTTCATTTAGCAGCAAATCTAATTAGAAGCCATCTTATTCTGTCTGTTGAAGAATAGATGGCTTGAACAATTTGTCTTTCTTTCCCTTTGTTGGGCACTGTGGTCTATTTTGACAAATTACAGAGTTGGAGTTCGTCCGGTGCTTTTAATATTATATTTGGCAGGCGGCCAACTGATGAAGAAGAGGGGCTCCAACTGACGTTTTTGTGGCTCAAAGTAAAAAGAGAATTATTTGTTGATTTATCTTGAAGTCCGTCTGGCCAGCTAACACATCCTACCTCAGACGTCCTTGGACAAAGTTAAATCACTGAGCTTTGAGGGTTAAAGCGACTGCGGCAGTAACAGCCATGTCGGGCTAAACACGGCTGTTACCTCTCGCCTCTTCTCTACGTTTGTCTTAATGCATTTCTCTCTGTGGGGACAGAGGGAGGAAGAAACACGATTCTCTTCTCTACATATTCCCCTTCATGTTCCCTCTAGTCTGTGCGTCAATTCGTTCTGATCGCCACGCTGCAGACTTGAAAACTCTGCCCCCTGGGGTGCAGGTGACCCCACAGTTCAAACACTGTCAGCCTGCCCCCTTTCATTTGCTTCTTTCATCCCATTTGCACCCCTCCTCCCTCTACCTCTCACCTGTCTGTCTGTCTGTCTGCTACTTCTCTTACTGCTCTCAGGCAGGCAATCGGCTTATCAGATGGAGGTTTTGCGCTGAAGCTTGTCTCTGTCAGCTCTCCTTCATGTCTCTGTGATAAAAGTCCGGTTTTCACATGTAGAAAATAACTCCATCCAAAAATATAGGGGAGAAAAAAAATGAGGGAGTAAAAGAGAGGTAGGAAAAAGGTATAGAATCATAATCTCCCCGCTCCTGAATCTCCTATGACAGAGTGGGTGTTTATGTCAGTGGAACAATAGTGAAAGCATATGGACTGTTCACATGTTTTCTTATATTAATTCAATACCAAATCTCCTCTATGACTCTTTCTTGCACCACAGTTAACGGATGCCCTACACACTTCATGAATCATAGTATAAGGCAGTATAAACCAACCAGTCTCTTCACACCACTGCCAAAGGGAGGAAACACCACTGATACAACTCATATACTACTTACCCAACATCCACAGGTTAACTTGTCGAACAGTCATGACTAATCTATCCACGCAAATTTACATGTATCATTACGACAATTACGTACCCGTACATATACGTTAACTATATCTGCTGCTGCATTATGCACATATCTCCAACATGTTAGTTTAGTGCATGCATGTGTGGATCCATTTTCTCTCTTTGTATTATTTATATATATATAAATATAGCAAGAGGAAAATAGATCCACACATGCATGCACTAAACTAACATGTTGCTTCAAGTCAAATATTCATTTTTTATTTATTTGAGGGTATAATAGAAATACTGCCAATCTCCTCAGTAATGATTGTATTTGCACTTTCAATTATTTTAGGCTTGAAGTTATTGCCCCAATATGTCAATGTTGTTAACCTGCTTCACATAGCACCTTAATTAAAGAGTATTTAAAATATTTTGAGCTTTCAACCATCAGCGATGATTATTAAAAATATGCACATCCAGTGGAAAAGTTAGCAGACTGACTCAATGTCAGCTGCACAGTAACATCTACATAAAGCTGTAACATCAACCACCTCAAGCAGCTGGGACCCGATAATCACGTCGGCAAAACAGATGCATGGTAAATACTTTAAAGGGGACTTATCCTGAACAACTCACTTTCAGTGCTTGTGGACATACATTTGGGGTTCTAGAGTCCCTATCATCCGCTTTCAAGATTACAAAACATTGAACAACCGCTTCTTATGTCACATGTATTTAGAGGAGAGGAGAGGTCCATGTTCCCAGAGAGCGAGACATTTCCACTTCTATCTCTATCTGTCCTGTCTGGCCCCGACGCACTGACAAAATACTCTCGGGATCTCCATCACTTCCTCTGTAACCTTCGGTTAACTCAACAGTTCATCACTTGCTATTGTCAGGAATATTACATGAAGCATATTGCCACGGTTGAACATTACGCAGGGAAAGCCCTCAGAGGGACAACTCCCATGAATCTAAGTAGAGCTTCACTCTGGATGATTGATGCCCTGTTCAGCTCCAAGGTCTCTTGGTGAGGTGTTGGGTGCCAGCGAGGGGTTGAAGGAAAAACAATGGCAAATGACGGGACTTTATTCCTTTTTGTTCCTGGATGCACTCTGATGCTGTTTCATCAGAACAATGAACAACAGTGGAATCTCTGCTGTGAATCCATTGAATTATAATGTGATTACATAATTTGCCACTGTGATTCTGCCACGAGGAGACAGCGGTTTCTCCCAGGAATGAGGATTAGCAGAGTGGAAGGAGCAACGTTCCTCGCAGGAGCTTGTGTTTCTAAAAAAAGGGCTCACGGCCGCGTGGGTAGTCGGGTTTTGAATACACATGCACGCACTGAGACTCAAATCCCTCTCACCTGTAGTTTGTGTAGTTCTCGCTAAAGCAAACAAACATTGAAAGTGTATTTAGATAGTATTTGTGTGTGTGTGTACTTTGCAGGGAGAAGATGCCATTCCACCATGTGCGCGCGGGCCTGCTCTATCCAGACAACTACCTGAGCAGCTCCCTGACGGAGGGCAGCGAAGCCTTCCAGCTCAACAGCATCTCCACGGAGGAGCTGGGGGGTGAGTGTGCTTACGGAGGGTTTCATGCTGTTTCATGGCGGGGCTGCAGAGTGGAGTGTGAGGTACACTAGAAATTCATGTTTCACTGCTGCGACAACGCAGTAACGAAAGACTTGGAAAGACGAAAGAGTCTTGTGAGGAACAGATTTCCATTCAGCCATTTTGTCAGGGCTTGACTCGAGGCATTGGTTTCTAATTATGGCGCTTTTGAACTAAAATCCATCGCAGGACTTGAATACCAGATATCAGACGTGTGGGGCTTGAAATAGGACGTGTATTGTGTTGATATAAGTTTACGGATAGAGTTTTCAAACCATTTGGAATAGAAATTGCAGGAACTTTTTTGGTAAACTGACTACGAAAATAAAACTGCACTTTGATCATTTGAGGTAAAGCACAACCATGTGTTTTGTCTGTAAACAACCCGAATCGTAGATGAACTCCCCAGTATTGAATGCAGCTTTACACAAGTAAGTTGACAAAAACATCTCAATATGATTACCTTAAAAGGGACTTTTTCTGATACAAAACCCTCATGATTGGAGGAAAACCAAATCACAAAGTGGGTTTTATTTCCGTTGCTCTGGCAATTGATTGTGTCAGCCAAGCAATGAGTGAATACGTGTTTTACATCGGTTGCTTTGGAGGGAAAGAAGTAGCTCTAACCCCGACATCGAGCACGGGCAGAGGCACGCGAGTGTGTTTGTGACTGATGCTGCTTATTTTTGTTAATACAGAATACACGTGGCCTCGTGCAGTTTGCTCGAATGAACTTATGAAGTACTTTGTAGCATAAATCTTTTAATCCAATGTCCCTTGCGTGAAACTCTATTCAACCCAGTTCACTCAAACAGTTGCTTTGGTGAGCTGAAAGCAGATCGGCTACGGTGACGGAAATGTCTTTACATCTTTAGAACGGTTGGTCTTTGTCGGTGAGCTTTTTTCCAAGGGCACCGACGCGGTTAAGATGGTGTGGACCTGTGCAGAGCTATTTGAAATTTCAACTCCAGACATCATGAGGAGGCATTATCCAAATGGACTCTTTGATGTGGACAAAATATCCATGGAGTTGGCTTCCAGCATTTGAAACCTCCTAATCCCACTTCAGAGAGATGCTGGAGGTTGTTCCGCGATCATCTGTTCGCGCAGATAGAAGGCTGGTTAATCACCCCTGTGTTGGATCAGTGCTGTCCTTTTCTCTGCTTTTGAGGCGTTTCATCAATCACAGTGAGAGCAAGTACAGTCCTGAGGGGTTGAATTTATATCAGGCAGGGCCGTATGCTGATACAAACACACAAACACAAACACAACCAGCTTCTTTGTACCCCTACGACTCACTTTGTTTTGAGAGGCTGAAGCCCAATCGCTTCCCTCTGATTCCCACTTTATTTAGTGACAGAGGCAGTGAGTTGCATGTAGTTATCCGCCGTGTGGGATACTTACAATCTTAAATGGGGGCAGGGACTGAACTTTGGCTCTATCGCAGCAGACGTGAAGAGTAAAGACAGTCATAGGAGGCAGATCCGACACTGACTTATTGTCAGGCGTCAATTTTACTGACACAGAGTCTGAGGGAGACAGATAAAGATTGGTCCTGTGTAAACTCAAATTAGAAATCCTTAATCCAGCAGGCGGTTGCTCTTCTAAATTGTTTCTCTACAACGATCTGCACCAGTGGCCAATGCCAACTGAACTCTCTCTCCTGCCCGCTGAAGTAAAGGAAAAAGTCTGGCCTATGAGAAGATGCTTAAGAAAGACATGCAAAGTCTCTCCTGTCCCTGCTGTCTTTATAAAGTCAATACATTTAACCACCTCGACCGCAATCCAAAAAACTCCCCCTGCGCTCAGAAAGAGCAAAGTGATTGACGGGTAATTAGCCAGAGATTGACCAGGGTCTTTTCTTGGAAGGTCCTCAGAGGTTTTGAGTAGAGTAGAGAGATGCCGCATGAGCCGTGTGCGTTTACTGACAATTTCAATTTAGAAGCAAGCTTTTTACGTGGGAGGAGAGAATGATCTTGGCAGTCTGTTGGCAATTGTGCTAGTTGGAGGGACCGATACAATAAGTATATAAAGATGTAAGAGAATCAAGGAAAGAAAGAGAGTGCAGGAAGGGAGAGCAGGGGATCCCTCTGACTGGCTGAGGGAAAAGGATGCCGCACTTCCAGTTAATGGAGAAGCCTGCCATCAGCACTGTCTGCACACCTGCTATAATCTGACTCATCTCATTTACATCACTGGATGACTCAATGTGTAAGACTTTAAGCAATGACAGCTTGTTAAAATCAGAAGAAAAAAACGCAAACCTAAACAGCAAGTTGGTGGTTACTGAAAGATGTCAGTATTCAAAATAAATGATGTGTCCGGCAGACGGGCTGACACACAATATCGTGTTATGTTGTATGTTTGTTTGTCTTGCAGAGATCCGTGAGGCGTTTCGTGTTTTAGATCGTGATGGGAATGGTTTCATCTCCAAACAGGAGCTGGGTATGGCCATGCGCTCCCTGGGTTACATGCCCAGCGAAGTGGAGCTGGCCATCATCATGCAGAGACTGGACATGGATGGTAAGGCTCCATGAGGACGCACACACGCGGACGCATGCACAAAGCATGCAGGCACGCACAAACACACTGTTAACCTTGTTACACAAGGCAGTTTAACATACACGGCATATATGTGGCTTAATGTTTGTTGTAGTTGCTGTGTCTATTTCAAAGTATTATATACACGAGAACAATATTTCATTCCATTAAAAGCCGGCTGTATGAATATTCAAATTCTAATGTGCTGTAAATAAACATTTAAAAAAGATAACACAAATGCAATTAATCCCTCCCTTTAAAATGCCTTGTGTTACTGTCACCATCAAAATTACCCTGCAAAACAGTCTTTAAACTCCCTTTATAGCAGCAGGTGGACAATTGTCAAAAATCAACTGGAGACATTGAATGGAGAATCTGTCGGCTGCTGCTCCTTAAACTCCAGCTGTGCTTGTAAATCAACACAGGATTGAAATGACTATGAAGCAGTCTTTAAATCGCAATCAAGCTAGTCAAGCTTTCAACTAGTTCTTGTACGCCTGCTCTTGATTCCACGACTTGTGGAAACTATCAAAGCTAAAAGCCTTTTGCTTTCGCCTCGACGAGTCCCGACCGTCTGAGAGCAGCGCTGCCGTTTGTTCCCAGGGGAATATGTTGTAGGGAAGTATCTCTTTTAAAATCGTCCACCTCTGACTTCTATCCTCTCCATGGCGGCGCTAATAGAGCACTGAAAGCCGTCCCAGCACGATCAGTTCAAGAATGTCAATTACTATCTTCTTGGACAACCTGCACAGTCCTTCAGATGATTCACGTTACTTCATTAAATCCCCACTCTTGCATTATGTACTTATAATACCCCTAAGGTTTAAGGCAAAGTAGTCTTAAATAACAATATTGTATTATGCTAATTTGAAGATTTATTTTTAGGGACTGCTATCATTATTTATTAATAATTTATGTATTGCAAGCTAATGCCTCCTTTTAAAGGTCTGCAATTGCCTCGTCATTTCTTGATCATTTCTGAAACATTTACTACAAACACTATTTGTATAATTTGACACTCACTGTGGGGAAACAGAGGAATTTATTAGAAAGAACACCTCCAATTAAACTCACCTAAATACTATCAAACACTAAATTCTCCTTAGATGTTGAATTGCATGTTTGTCTGTTGACAATTTTCTAATTTTCTCTGTTCATCTTGCCTACTTCACACTAAATGAAAGACTCCCTATGTTACAACAGAAGTTAATTATCATTGATTGGAACTGTATAGATAGTGTCTCTGTCTTTCCGGTTATTAGTGCCAAATTACATGGTTCCACATAAGTGATGTTCTTGGGAAATATTCAGAAATTACAGACCCATAAAATAGAGCATCAAGTAACGTTAAATAACATTGTAAAAGGGTGGAAATATCAATATCAGCGATGCACAGTATAGTATCTGGTGTTTGTGCAACAAGCCATGAGACATGCTGTGGTGGGGATGTTCATTGAGTATTAATTCCACGGGACGTTGGCTGTTGATTGTTGTCTCTAAACAACATGCAACAGTAGAATACATAATGCAAACACAAGTTGTGTCCCTTGAATCTTAAATTAAAATGTTTCCTGCACTGCAACATAAAAAAACTGTCTATAAACGCCATCTTCAACCACACAGACAGGCACTACTTTGCATATAGGTGCAGACACCCTATTTAAAAGGTGAGGTGGTCTCTATGTGTGTGTGTGTGTGTGTGTGTGTGTGTGTGTGCAGGGGACGGCCAGGTAGATTTTGAGGAGTTCATGACGATACTGGGGCCCAAACTGCTGTCATCTGACAACAGAGAAGGATTTCTGGGCAACACCATTGACAACATCTTCTGGCAGGTGAAAGACAAAACCATCTTGTCCTCCTCTTCCTCCTCTTCCTCTTAACGCTTTAGTTTCTCCTCACTCACAATCCCCATCACGTATGAGTTACATTCTTTACGCAAATACACACACACACACACACACACACACACAAACAAATTGCACCCACCATTCTTCTGTTATCGGTTAAAGAAGAAACTTCTTTTCTTCTTTCAACCCAGGATCTCGGATGAAAGGTGTATCTCGCCAGAATTAAGTGTGTTGCTTTTAAATAGTATGTTTGTATGTTTTGGAGTCTGGGTGTGTGCCTGTGTGTGGCAGGGGGCATTTCCATAATAACGATTGTAGCTTCCGTGCTTTCAAGTGTCCGAACTCGTCTCGGTGGTTATTAAGGCTGGCAGCTCATCTGCATGCTTTTCAACAAGCTTGCTTTTATTTTTTTAATTGTTCCACTGGTGAAAATGTGTTGCTCTCAAAGTGGCTTTTTGCCACTTAGGTAAGGCATGCGACAATAATGAAAAGGTTTTCAGTGTGTGTGTGTGTGTGTGTGTGTGTGTGTGTGTGTGTAGGGAGGAGGGTGAGGATGGCTGGTGGAGCAGACAGCTCTAAGGAAGCAGTTCTCTGCTTTCTTTGAGTCAAATAAGAGGAGAAACGTTTGGAGGGTGACTCACTGAAATGAGGAGGTGTGTTTTAGGTTACAAACACATTTAAATTGCTTTTCATTCTGCAATCGCTTCAGGAAAAAAATATCTTTGCCATACACGATCTTCGGAAATGTAAGATTTTAACATCAACGCAATTTCTTTCCAAGTCGTGGGAAATATTGTGTCACATTTTATAAATAGGACACATTACATCTGAAGGAGGGATGGAGCAAGACGGGCTTCAGTGTGCAAAGATAAAACAGATGAGAATAGAGCGGTAAGATGGACAATATGTTGATGAACAGGGAAGGTGGTGTTGGTTCGGGGGGGTGAAGGTGCCCCACATATAAGATACAGGAATATGAAGGAGAATCACAAAGGAGGAGAGCGGGACAGAACGAAGGAAGAGGTACGCGTGCCTGCGATTCATGAAGGTCGCACACAGTGTTCATCCGGGGTTGATTTAAAATATTCAAGCCCCGCGAAGAGAAAGACGGACTAAAAGAAAACAGGTAGAAGGGGAAGGAAAAATGAGGAGTGGAAGAAGAGAGAAAAGCGGGATAGTAGATAGAGGGATAAATGAAAAGGAAAGAATATGGAAGGACAGAGGACAAGGGGTTGAAATGGTGGGAGGAAGTGTGTCTCTGGGGACGGCGAGAGCTGTGTTTTGTGTGTATTTGGTGTTTCTGTTTATGTTTCACAGACCTCAGAGGGAGACAGCAAGAAGGAGAGTCATTATATTAAAAAGAGAAAGATAGAAGAGAAGGGGGCACATCATGGTGGATCATGATGATACGGTTCACAATTGTCAGACGATGTGTTGCACAGTGAGATGGAATGGTTTACTTCTTCATAGAAACTGGAGTTGGTAGTTTTTGATTACAATCAAATGTTGTGTGCATTTGTGTGTGTAATACATTTTGTGTGTCCTGGTGATTGCATCCTGCCTGTTCTATTAAGTATACTCAAGAAATATCTGAAAAGAATGTTCTTCTGCAGCATGGTAAGAGTACAAGCTGCAAGGGAGATTTGGATATCTGCTTTGAGAAAACGGTAGATGGTAAATAGAAAAGGAAGCAACTGATGTAACAATCCTGTAACAACTATCCTTGAGCCAGGATCTTTCTGGGAGTCTGAAATAAGGTTATCATGAAAGCATAAAGTATAATACCTCACATTCGCTACAATTATATACAGGTGTATAGATATATTATTCATGTAAAGCTACGCCTCCACCAAATGGTTAACTTTCCTCTGAAGCTCACAAATAAAGGGAGATATTACTCCCAGCAGGTTAGCGATAATCCTGTTTCCACTGCTAAACTAGGTTCACCGTTCTCTGGGCTGTATCCGCAATGGTATCTTCGGTATATTTCAATTTTGATTTTACTTTATCATGTTTGTGCATTCAGTAAACCTTCAGTGGCTAGCGTAGCACAGACGTGCTAACACTTGTTAATGATGTTGATCAAAAAGCATACTTTGCAAAGGATTTTATGTAGAAACCTAGCGTTTTAGAACTGTGGCATATATCTTCTTTTACGCAACGTGCGGCCATAACAAGCTTGAAATCCACAAAACAAACCTGAAAATGTAGAACATCTGAAACGCCATGATAATCTATGGGCTAGCCTGTTTGCTGTCACTGAAAGGGCTTTTCTGCCATTAGCAGGCTCCAATTTTTACATTATGGAAAGGACCCTAAAGAGAAATAAAACAAATTAATCTTTCACTTGATTCAGTCTGTCCGTTATTGTGCCTTAAAGAATTCTCATTCTGAAAACTGCATCGCAACTACATTCCCGACAATGACAATGAGCAGAGAATGAAGTTGCTCTCCCTTTCCGCGTGTTCTAATCACAGTTTCTCCTTAATGGACGTGCACGTCAGTGTCCCCCACTTCGCCACTATCATTCAGCACTTACAGCTGATAACAGCGCCCAGAGTTGTTTACACCATTAGCACTTTTAGCTGCTGGCCGCCGGCTCATCGTTCATTTATTGAGAACTGTTGAGAGGCAATCCCAGCCCGATCTTGGTTCTGGCACCCTCAAGCGCTTGAAAAACCTACCATGTCATTTATTTGGGCTTAAACCAGTCTTTCCAAGCAGCCAATTATGTCCTTTCATCTCTGCAGTGTGAAAATAGAACAGCAGACTCTTGTGAACATCCACTCTGCACACATTTGTGTCAAACGTCACGTTACCAATGTTAAAGGGGACATATTATGAAAATTCCACTTGGAGAGTGCTTCTACACGTTAATGTGGCTTTCTAACCGCCAAACGCTGGAGAAAAACTTACCACTACCGTTTGCATCTATTGCCACAGGATGCAGGATGCAGGGTTTAGACCAGCATTGCCAAATTTCGAGGGAAAAACAATATGTAAGAACCGCGTTTTGATGGACAGTTTCATCCAAACTTACCTCAGGTGTAATTCATTTAACAACTACAGCGAGTGGGATAGAACTTCTTCCACCTTTAGAGTGTAACGTTTTGCATTTAATCACATTTAATTGGCACTGGTGTTATTTCTGTGGATCTAATTAATCTATTATTTATCTTTTGATTGACTATTACCTCTGCTTACTTTGTGAAGAATAACTTATCTCACGTGCAATGTTATACTCAGATCTGTCCCCAATTTTTGCATTTGTGCACATGCAGTTAAGGAGATGATTAAATATTTGTGTAGACATAAACTTTACTTGCATCTTAACCCTGACAGCACTGCCGCGATCAAGACAAATAAGACAAAGGGAGCACAGAATAAAAGAAACAATGAGAAGACGTTCTTCTGACTGATGTGTCCTTGAGCATGTGACCCGTCTCTGTCCGCCGAGGGCAAAATTTAGGGCCGAACAAATGACTGTGAGAGAGTTGGACATTATTTCTAGTTTTTCAACAGTGTCTTATTATTATTAACTAGTTTTGTGATTGCATTTTACCATCATCTTTTAAACTACCCCCCCCCCCCACCGTTTTATCCAATCCCAATACCTCATTTATGTATCTGATAACGGGCCGTAAAACCGACTGCTGGTTGCAGGCATGCAAAATACATGAAAATACAAACAGTGGTTAGTGGTTGGCCGATTTGAGTTGATATGAATGTGGGGTTTTTTTGTTAACTCCCACAGCTCCAGGGGAGGGTGGTTTGCTAGTCAACTTTGGGCTGGGCCCGACATGAGACTTACAGTGAGGTTAAACCCATGGGGAGATTTTCTTTTTATAAATGTGTTGCAATCAAGAGCTGTGGTGAGTCTGCATCCATCGGGATATGAACCTTCTGTTGTGTGGTATCTTTGGCCAGGCCCCTATTGGCCGAGAGCGCTCTCAAGGCACAACACATTCTGAGTGTTTGTCTTAAAACTTCAAATATCCCTCACTGCAAAATGAATAAACGAGAGTAGAATATAGAGGCGACCTTTTGATGCTGCTGCAGTGTCTTGTTGATGTTTTCTCCATGGCTACTGATTTAATTAGTATTATTACTGTATCTTGTGTTTTTCATTCTAGAATGTTCTATTTTGTCTCTCTTTCCTCTTATCTTTATTTCATCATTTGTGTATTTTTCCCTGTTTTGTGTGTGAAGCACTTTGACCTACATACAGTGCATAAAAGGTACTATGCAAATAAAGTTCATTGTTTTATTTTTGTAATTAACTCATTTACTTCATTCAATGAAAGACAGGCAAACTCTCTCTATGTCTATGCATCCCTTTATAGTGACTGTGTGGGGGGGGGCATGTGTGTGGGTGTGAGCCGTGAGTTAAATTATTAAAAGGTGGCTGTTCCAGTGCTGTTTTTTTTTCAGTGCCTCAAATGTGGAATATTTTGCTTCAGATTACATTTCATCACATCAAATTGTGACTAATAATAACTTTTCTGACCTGAAATGTTATACTAAGGTCTCTCCTCTTTATTTGTCTGTATTTGTGCACATACAGTCTATTTTTGGCCAAAGCACTTTAGTTCAAAATGAGAGGAAAAACCTTCGTTGAACTTGAAGATGCAACCTGACCCTGGCAGCACTGCTGCAGTATACAGAATACAGATAAGAAAAATGAGACAAAGGGAGTGCATAATAAAGTATTAATGCTTGCAGGTTGTCCACCTGGGTGACATTTTAGAGTGGGGTCACAAGACAGAGCAGGTGGACAACTGGCAATACAAGCTTGTTTGGTACCCGGGCTCGACGGATTAGACGGGAGGGACTGAGGGAAAGCACCTGTTGTTCTGATTGACGTGTCCTGGCTCCTTCAGTATGTCGCTGGTCACTGGTCGCCAAGGGCAAAAAGCCTCATTGAGACTCTAGGGGAGGGGAGGGGCAAAAGACTATGTGACTGAGTGTGTTTATATTGTTTGCATTTTACTTTGTATGTTATTCATATTTTTCCGCAGCATTATTCCTGATCCTTTCCCAATATCTCATTAATGTTTCTGATCATGTGCCCTGTTAACGTAGCGGTCAGCGACCCGCCTCTTCCATTCTGGAAACCTGGTGTTTATGGCGAGAGACGACAACCAGCCTCGTGATACTTTAGTTTTAGTGCGGAAAGTAGCCAAAAGAGCGTTGTCAGGACAACCGCTGGCGACGCTCTCTGTGGCTATCCTTCGCACACCCGGTATCACTCTGTTGGTTGTAACAAGTAGCGGCCCCGCTGTGGCTTTTTCCCCAGTAGACGGACAGACAGGAACATTGCACATCCTCTGTGCGCCTGCTCTGAGCCGTCCTGCTGTCTGTCCTTCGGCTTCAGTCCAAACCGTTGTTCCTCCTTTTCCATTCAGCGCAGACAGCTCTGCCAAGAAAGGCAGCAGATCAGGCAGCTCAGGCAGCTCAGGCCTTCAAACGGTTGCCCTGGAGGGCCTCGCGCGTGTGTCACAGCAGTTACATGGCCAATCAGTGTTTTTTTTAGATATAATCACACATGCAAAATAATTGTTTAAAAATATCTTTAAAATTATCATTGAAAATGTAAGCAGATTTTGACAACCGCAAGCAACAATTAGATTGGGGATTTTGGAAAAAGTGCACACAATTTATGATGCGACCCCTTTTTACCATGTTTTCATGTTTTCTGGTTCTGAAGACTTTTCTGTCTTCATCTTCTGTCACTTTTGCTTGTTTGCTATTCAAAAAGCCCTTTGAAAGCAAAAATAAAAAGGTAATTTTGATTTGATCCCAGTTTGTTGAATTGAGAATACGATTGATTTCAGGCTCTTTAGTTACCAAATAGTGTTCTGCATACGACAGAGGGAAGAGTAGACAAAACATGCATCCAAATCTGTACATCTACAAATGAAATGATTTTTCTATAAACTGCATATTAATTTTTTTGAACGAATGTTTCGTGTTTGTGCATGTGTGTTCATCCATAGGCTTGTTCTCATAATTGCAGTGTGAATCACATGGAAAAGTACAATAAATGATAGCAATTGATATTTATAATTTAATATTAATAAAAATATTTGCCATACTTTCTGACTGCACAATGCACACAGAAGCCAATGTATGCAAAATGCGCTCAAAAAACTCACTCAGTATTCGAGTCTCAATAAGTGATTGTCTCGCATTTTGAGCTGACTGGTACACTTTCTAACCTCTCATCAGCTGTTTTTCCTTTGGTAAACAACATCTGCCTATGGTGGCTGAGCATTCAATATGCAGTTTTAGGGGTTTCGCCAGCATAAAAATGCAGCATCTTTGTTGAAATGAGCATCTCATCACCATCGCAACTAAACTTTACTTCCATAGTCTCCATCTGTGTCTCCCACTACTTCCTCTCATTTGCTTTGACCTCACCATACTTTCCTATTTTCATCTCACAGTACTGTCTTTTTCTTTCTTTCTCTCGATAAAATACCCCCGATTGACTTTGTGTTCGCATCGCCTGCCCCAGTATGTCCATCTGTTGTGCTAAACCAAGCGACTGATTGTATTTGAGACTGTCACCGAGGTAAATAATCTTCAAATAGATGCCAGTGGGTTTGAGGATGGCATAAGCAAGTGAGCCTGTAGGTTGTAGTGTGTATCAGCTGGGGGTTGCACAGGAAGAACATGATTTTTCGGAATGGCAGACAGGGAACAAGACGGAGGCCAAGATTCAAATTTTGTGTCAAAGATTGGTCAATCCCATTAGTATGTAACCACTTAAGGGAGGCAAATGTGCCTGAATTTCCGTTGCCACTGATGCATCCATTACATTACATTACATTACATTACATGTCATTTAGCAGACGCTTTTTATCCAAAGCGACTTACATCACACTTTTAAACCCATGGCTTTTTCACATTTTTGCCTGGGAAGCAATTAGGGGTTAGGTGTCTTGCTCAGGGACACTTCGACATGGAACATGGGGCAGCCTGGAATCGAACCAACAACCTTGTGCTTCCCAGCACACCTTCTCTAACCCCTGCGCCACGACGACCCCCATTAAACTAGTAGTGCTTGCACACACACACACACACACACTGGTTTGCATACTGATTCAGTCACCCACAAAGCTGTAGCACCTCGAATGATGCACAGGCATCATGCTGCCATTACATTACAACTGACACCTTCCCGACTCACCATACTGTACCTGCAAATTACACATTTGGGCAACAAGACACAAACTCATTCATTGCATCAATTCGTGTGGCTTACACACCTCACTCTTATCTTCTACATCTATCTGCCCTCGTAGAGCTTGTGGATGACTGTGCCACTGCATTGATCCCCCCCCTTGCAGTTTGACATGCAGCAGCTGTCTCTTGATGAGCTGAAGCAGGTGCTCTTCCACGCCTTCAGGGACCACCTGACAATGAAGGACATAGAGAACATCATCATCACCGAGGAGGAGAGCCTAAATGAAACAGGAAACTGCCCTGAGTATGAAGGAGGTGAGGGAGCTGTTTTCATGGATGAACATTACATTGCTTTACCTTTATTTAGATATATCAGGTATCTACTTGTAGAAAAGAAGTTTGCACTGTAATTAATACTGAGCTAATTAAACATAACCACGAATGTTTACATTTGTTTAGATCTAAAACGTTATCCTAAAATGGAAAATAAGCACTCGGCCGGGGGGGATTTTTGCTTCAACTAAAAATGCTTTCCATGGGGCAAATATGTCACTACTTATTGGTTATGGCAAAACTAAATACATTGCAAGACATCGGCTGACATGACTAATCACAACTCACACCTCGAAGCAGAGTTGTAATTGTGAGAGCGTAAGCACGCACAGCAACAGTATTGCAACTTGTTTCGAAGTTTTAGTTCAGAAAGAAAAAGGTTAAGTACACTTTTAATACTTTTTACGTCACATTCTTTGAAATAACTTATCTAAATCATGCTTCAAAAAATTCAAGGTGAGATTTGTCATTTTTAAACTGCTGCTCTACCAACATGAATATCCATCAAAAAGGTTTCATCCGCAACGGGGTGAAAAAACAAAATAGATTAGTCTCAAGGTAATTCATATATTTAGTTGAATTTTAAAGTCAGTGTTTGAGAGCAAAACAAATACACAAAAGCCCCTTTTTCTTAAGTAAAACCAGAGAAACTTAGCAGAGAAGGGACAGTGAGGGATGAAATAAGAGGCTAAAGAAGGGATCAGGGAATTGCTGGCTCTGCATTCTCTATTACAAAGTTTTGGGTGTTGAGGGAAGGAGTTAGTGAGAGGAAACCGCTGAAAGGCTTTGAAAGAAGAGAAGCATAAAGAGGAAGCGTAAAGATAAAGAGGTAAAGAGCCTCTCTGCTAAGTAACAGCTGAATTACTCCCTACATTTAACCCTCTTCCCACATCCTCAACTTCCCTCTTAAATGCTTCCTCCCCATCGTCCGTCGGGACCTGTACGACTTTCACAGTACCTCTTAGATCCCCGACTCAAAGCTCTGAGTTGATTTATTGATGCGGTGTGTGATCTAACAAACTGAGACAAGGAGGCTGACAGGGAGAAACATTTTGGTTCTTGCACTTGCTGTTTTGGTGACACTCTGCTCCTCTTTCCTGAGATTGTGTCTTTGTGGGTGGGGGGGGCTGACTTTTTCCTCCTGCAGATAGATCGAAAGTGCATCTTATTATGTTAAAATGTATTCCCCATTCATCACAAGGTTCATTTACCAAATATTTCAAAGCTGTTTGCTGTATGTATATATCATTTTAGCTTTGATAATGTGGTTATTAGCTGTTTGTGTCTGGTTGGGAAATCATGACCCCCAAACACTGTTAAAGGATGGTCACTGATATGAAATCTACTTGGCTTTATCCAATAAATCTGCCTATCAGCACCTTTTAAAGTACACAAATTAATACGTTGCAACTTGTCTGTTTAATCCAAAAACAAGTGTCAAATCAGCTTATTATTTCCTGGACTGTTTCTAGTGACGTCTTGGAGTCTCTCTATCGTTTTTTCTGTTCAAATTAAATATGTGAAACATGCTTTCTTACTAAATGGCCATTGGTTTGTTCTTGTAGGCAGATTTATTTCCACGTTTAGAGAGAGCCAGACTAGCTCGTTCAATTGATTTACTAATGGAGGCACAAACTGGGGATAAAGACGAACAAGTATACACTTTCTCTCTCTCTTATCTCTTTTTTCGTTCACTCCCCTCAGTCCATCCTAAGAAGAAGAATCGACAGACGTGTGTCAGGAAAAGCCTGATCTGCGCCTTCGCCATGGCTTTCATCATCAGTGTCATGCTCATCGCAGCCAATCAGATGCTGCGGAACGGCATGGAGTGACCGATTGCACTGTGAGCGCGGGGAGTCACGACCTCACACCTTGTCTTTGTAGCCAAAGCAGGAGCAGCCACAACCCCGAGCACTTCTCTAAACAATCAGTTGAGTTGTTTTGTTTGTTTAATTTGACCTTAACTTATTGAAGCAGTAGACGTGAGTGATATGAAGAGAGGTATATGTGTTTTGCACTGAAGATGTCACCATGTGGACACACAAGGAAGAAGTGGGAAATAATTATGTTTTTATATATAAACTGTGAAAATTAATCGAGCATATTATTTTGACCGCCTTTTAAATTTGATTTTCGAGTAACCGAAAATGTTCATAAGGTGCTATGAGCCGTTCCTTATTTCAAAATCAAATTTATTATGGACAACGGCATATTTACAATAGAGAAGTAGCGCTGAATGTGAGTGAATGTTGGTGCTGAATGTTGGTCAGAGTATTTGAATGTACATTAAATCACTCACATCTCATATAGTAACGTATAAACATAACTCCTTATGTGGAGAATTGACTCACTCGACTCAGTCCACTAATCTTGGGGCACAGAAGTCTTTCTGTAGATCTAAAAGGAGCACAACTCAACCCTCAGTGGGGGATCAGTTCAGGACCATCACTGTCCGCTCGTCTGTGCTATTAAGTCTTGACATTGATTGATTGATTAATCCCTCAACGTGTGTGTGTGCGTGTGTGAGTGTGAGAGAGAGAGAGAGAAAGTACATGATGTAAGCTCAGGCACTCTGAGAGGTTAAAAATGTATCAAAGTAGAGCTCTGTTTTTGGCTATTAGTTTGACCAGTTAGATTATAATATTGTTGATAATGTGTTAATAGAAAATATTTCCCCTCAGCATCTCATGTTGCCAAACTGTGGTAAATATAAACCGCACAAAAAGCATGCCAGTTTATATACTGCCATATCAAACTACACTAACTCCCATGGATTTCACTGTATATATATATATATATAATGTAGTACTTGTGTGTGTTTCTTTTTTTTTCAAGCAGAATGTATGAAGGGTAGAAACTAGTGAGATAATTCAGGGATGTACAGCAGAGCTTTGCCGTGCTGTACGAGCAGCTGTTTTCTTAGAAAAGGTTGCAGTCTAGTGGTTAAAATGAGATTTGCATCGAAAACACTTGAACAACCACGTTTACGTGTAGAACAACGCCAGTGTATTTGAGCTCGGGTTTTGTGTTGTGCCATTTATCACTGGAGCCCTTTCGGTCTGTGTGTGGGTGAACATTCACCATTTCTAGTGGCCAAACAAACAAACAGTTTTCCCCCCACAACCAAAATGTGGCCGTCGTACCAGTTGGTACAGCTCGGGATCGGATGCGAGACAGAGGTGACTGCTGCAGTTGGTGTGATAGGATGTGTTGGCTCTGGCGTCGTAGCTGGGTGTTATAGTTTAGACCTGATAGCACTGCCATTTTAGAAAGCGCATAGTGGTGACAACATTTCAGAAACACCTTGTAGGAGTTTAACGATCACGTTCCTCCTCTTCTGTCGTGCCGATGATGTTGATCGTGCCAGGGACGCCTGGAGGTGGGGGATTGGGAAACTCCATTGTTTATCTACTGACATTGTAATGTCATTTTCATATTCCAGTAATGTTTTCCAAAAATGTCACGACTGAGAATACGTTTTTATCAAACACATTTAAAGAGTCAGTGGAACACAGAACTTTACCGTGAAGATAATTTCTATGATTTTATACGTGATTATTTTGTGATATCAATAGATACCGTGAACATATTTTCATTAATGTTGTGAGAATTATTTCTACACGGTCCAATGTTGATGCCATCTTTGAAATACACTGTTAGTTTATACGGATTGCAACATCATGTGTCATAATAACAGCAACATGTGGATTCCTAAATCGCACGGTGCTCCCATGATTGGATCTGATACCTTGAAGCCATTATTTATTCTTCTGTCTGATGATAACCAAACTAATATATTTCAATCGTACCAATGTGCAGCCATGTGAGTTTATACGCTGTCCGGGTAAGACAAAACGTAAAGAGAGGGCTTTCTCTGGAAACTAAAATATTGCTTTGTAAAATCAAATATCACAGCAAAAAAAGTCTCTTCATGCTGTAAATCAGTATGCATGTTGTTTAGATTTTCACGTCCTTGAACAACAGGGTAATCCATTTATTCTTTCTTTACTGTGGCACTGCCCTGTGTTGTACCACTCCCACAGATTTGACTTTCCAGTTGATTCCGTAATAGCCATTTCCTTTCTCAAATTTATACCAGCTATTAATCAAATCGGAGTGAAGGAGAGGGCATTTTTATAAATATGCAAATACAAGGTCACATCGTCATCGTCCCTGTTTCTCGTCCTCTGGGTTAGAAGACTGTTGGCCTCACTGTGGGTGGTTAAAACTGACATTGGTGTGTTTTAGTCACATTAGTTTTTATTGAACGGTCTCACTGCCTCACTGTCCTGTATAAACTGCTGTGTGACGTACGCTCCACTAATCCCCGTCAGTCAGTTTGTGTCTTTGATATTGTCAGCACATTTGGCATTTGACCAACGGATTTGGTCCTTTTGAAACCAGCATAGACCACTTTATCTTTACCCTTCTGTAATAACTGTTACTATCAGACACCCTTGCCTGGCTGTGCAAGGGGAACTTATTTGAAAAACCTTTCATCAACACTTTTGAAGTTTACATTATGATACTGTACATCTTTAACATGACGGAATGGGTTGATGATTTTCATGTTTTTGACAGTTGCTTTGGTGATATGTTTTTACCAAAACATGTTTTTACCTTGTAGATTATGTAGAGATAAAACTAAACACAGATATGTTATACAACACTGGCATGCTGCTTTGAAAAGGAGAAAGAAAACAGCAATAGTTGCCAACCAAATGGATATTTAAAAATGCAAATAACAAGTTTAAACTGTTTAATCTAAAAGAAATATATCCATATATGTTTATGCAATAAAACCTTGTTTTTATAGACATAAAAAGCATCTGTATTTATTTCTGAGAGATTTTTATGCACTGGGATTTTGACATTGTTGAACAAATAACCAAACAATATTACTCAACACTATACAAAGGTAGAGCATTAATCCATAAATCTCCAAATTAATACACAACTTTGGGCTTTCTATAAGCTTGTGAGCAGGGGCATTTTAGTGATTATAAAACACAGTATGAAGTAGGCGTGTTGCTTTACTTGTCACTTGTTATCATCCTCGCTCTGTCATTTTGAATACTAACCCTAAAAATAGGAGGACAACACAGCATGCTTTACACTGCGCGCCCTTTACTGCAGTTTCCCCACGCAGGTACCATGAGGGAGCCGGGAGCCAGAGGAACAGCCCCTTCAACTCACACAATCCATCAAGGTCGTGTAAGCACTACAAACACAATTGCTTTCAGTGGTCTAACCGTGTCATTTGTGACATACATGCACACAAAGGAAACCCCTCCACCACTGGGCCATGCATCTTTAAATACTGTGCAAGATGGGAGGATTTAAGGTCAATTTGGTTGACATTTCTGAAAAAGGAGCGTCCTAAGGAGCAGTGAAAACATCAGCCCTTACTCAGGATCGTAGTAATTAGAGCATAGGTCAAAGACAAGTGAGAAAACACTCACAGCAGATGCCCCTAACCCACATTATCTGTCGGATAATGAACCAGAACCCTCCATTAAGTTAACAAACAAGTCATTAGGATAAGTACGATGCCCTGGGCAGACAATAAAAGCTTGCCTCAATCACAAAACCTTTGGTCTGTGTTTTTCTCTATAAATTTAGGGTATTGGTTTTGTGATCTGGGCTTGTTAAAATGGTTTAAGATCAAGTAAAGGGACACCTGTACAACAGAAACACTACATTATCTGTCTACCTTTAGTGCACTCCTTTTACCTTATAAGTCATGTCGGTAAAATGCGCTTTCAGTTAACGGGAAAGTCATGAATGATGAAATCAGTAAGCTCTGGCTTTGCCATGTATCATAAACACACTGGTTACATTTTTTTTACAGTTTTCAGATTCTCTCTTTAAATTATTTTAGGATTTTCCACCGCCGTCACCAAAGTAAAAAGAAAAGGATCCAATGAAGACGTCAGGCTAATACTGCATACAAATCATTTTAATATGAGGTATTCATTGCATGTTTGTTTCCTCTCAAACAAAGAGTTGATCTAACACGTACACATGCACAGAAGGCATGAATGTAAAACACTGTACTTTCTCCCAACACTTGAAAACTGTTTAAATCATGACAAACAACAGCACCCGGGTCAATGATGTACATTTCAAAAACACCTCCGAAGAAAAAAAAAACAGCATATTCTGTCATGTCAGCTAGTGTTAAATAATTTATATGAAACGCTTGAATTGAAGAGAAAAGAAAGCCATTCACAAAGGTAATACTCCTTATACATTGAGTGTAATATGGCTTCCAAATGCCATAAAAACACATTCAAATTCGTATGTTTTGAAAAGTTTAAAAGTCTCCGCAGTTTAAATACTTAGCGCTTAGCACATTTTAAAAAGGATAAAGGCACAAGTGTAACAATTTTTTGCCCAACAAAGCACAATATTTACTTGATGAATTAATACTTATCTGCAAAACCTGCACTGCCAGATATTGGCAGTTATTTAACAAAATAACAGCTGAGAGGATGCAAAGCTCAAAAATGTGTCTTCATAGAGCAAAACGGTATTTTTAATACCTTTATGTCTCCTTGCACCCGGCAAACTATAATTCTCAACAAATTCTATTAGCTGTACTGCGTGTAGCTGCTGGATTTTTGAGGATTCAAGTTGGGTTTCGTTTAAACTCAAACTTGAAGTTGTTGCCCCCTGATCCGGGACAGACGTTTGGCACATGTCTCTTCAAAAGACGATAGTCGAAAGGTGACGGGAGAGGCAAGTGAGAAAAGGGGCGGCCGCGACAGGTGAGATTAGGGACAGAGACGGGAAGTGAGGGAAACGAAAGAAGAGCGGGCTTCAGAACTCTGTGTGCAGGTGACTGTAGTCTCGGCTGCCGGCCAGGTTCTCGCTGGGCTTCAGGAAGACGCCCTCCATGGCCTTCCACAGGCTGTGCTGGCTGGGGCTCGACATGGCGTGAACTTCCCTCTGGCCACTGATCGGCCGCCCGTACTGCTCCCCCGTCACCGACAGCAGCGCATCGGTGGCTTTGTGGCGGAAGCGGACGGCCTCCTCGCGCTTCCACACGGATCCTCCGCACTGGACCGTCCACTCGTCCAGGTGGTCTCCTTCCCCTTCGTCGCCAAATGCACTCACCTCCTGTGGACGAGAGACAGAAGAGAGACCATTTACGATGGACTTTTCAGACGTAGACAATACTTGTGTTTTGCATTTAACCTTCGGCTATTACCCGACTTCTATGTTGTAGAAAACTAACAGCTTTTACAGACCCCATTATTTACCAAGGCAGATATCGAACACAGTAAACGCAGGGACAGGTCTGATTTTGTCAAACACTCTCTGGCTTGTTTATTACACAAACGTACAGTTACATACACCCTTAAGTCTCCAGTCTGCAAACTTTATTGGTGAATGGGAGAGGAGACACGGAGTTGTATGCATTGCGTGTGCGCGTAGATGAAATCTTGTATTGTGGTTGGTATTTTCCAAACTTCCTGAAAATCCCAAAGTGCCATGAAGCAAACCTGTTTATCAATTTACCACATAGTAGGCAGATATATTAGTAAATTAACTGTATACCAAAATGACAGTTGACAAATTTGTGAAATAGCATGTTGAACATCTTCCAAACCCTGTTACATTTCATGACACACTGTTTTCACACTTCCTCAATATTGCAAGATATTTTTTGACCCCAGGCTGTTTTTCACAGAGAGTCTAGTGAATTTCCTGAAGTGTAAAAGCTGCTGTCAACTCAGTTCCACCTCAAAACGATGCTCTTCAGTCAAATGTGAGCTCTCGACCTCTTGGTATCTTACATCTATAACCGCGTGTGAGTGATCCTACTGCATTTAATCGATCAGTAGACTTCACAGTTAGCAGTTGTCATAACTAAATCAACATTCTCACATTCAACTTTTTCAGTTATGCTGGAGATGCTATAACCCCCTCTAGGACATTAACATGATTTCAAAATCTCTGCAGGCAGGTGTGTGGATGATGCTTTACATAAACATGACGCCTGCTCTCTTCCCCGTGTGCTCCCCCCACCGCCCACCTGGTTAGAGGACAGCGGCGAGGCGAAGTAGTGGCTGTGCAGGTTGCGGCCCGTGTTGACGTGGGTGAGACGAATGGTCTGCCCGCATTTGATCGGCGTGCCACGATGACACGAGGCGTCGATTGTTCCGCGGACACTCCAGTAGCTGTTGCTGTCTTCCACTGAAGTCACCCCCGTTACAGACTGCTGCCCGCTACCTGCCACACACAAGTACATGCAGCGAGCACAATCATGTTACACATGATACTCAAAGTTGGAGGGGGGGGGGGGGAAATGGGTTAAATGACGACCACACTGGGATTTTGTCAGGGCATCATTTCTAGATTTGCAGAAAGTTTGGAATTAGATACCATTTTAGGTTTTCTTAATGAATCTGAGCTTTAAATCGTGGTTTGCTCTGCCGGTTAAGATAAAGATAATGTGTAAATCCAAACGTTAATCCCGTTCATGTGTAGTGAATTCACGGTCATTATTTACCATTGGTAAATATTTGCTTTGTAATGGTAAATAACACCGAAAAGAGGCTAGTTTACGCGCAACACTATATCGTTACACATATTAAAGACAGGATTCATTAACGTTATATGTCAAATTAACACTGTTAACCTTCGTAAATATAAACCAATCTTTAGAATTACAGACATGGACAACGGTAAGTTTAGTAATGCTTAACGGTCGTTTTATGAGAGGAAACTCACCGGAGCCGTAGCGCACGTCGTGCGAGTGTAATCTTACATTGTGCTTTGTATTTAACAGTTTAAGGACGGACCCACACGTCACAAAACCCAGTTCCGTACCAAGAGACAGTCCAAATAAACAGGTTGACAATAACAAAATGGTCGGAAAAGAGTTAGGAAGAACTGTACAATCTAAATGACCCATTCCAAATAAATCCAGGGGAGCCGCCGATGCTCATAAAGATCTCTATTATTTTTCGCTACGTCATTAAAGAGGTCCAGTGTTCCCGGGCGGGCTGTGAAACAGCGTCCCTAGCGGCCCGGAGTGCTCGTTGCGCGGAGCTGTCACGGGTCTTTGCTCTATTTGTGGTTTATTTGGTGTCATTTCAGATATGCTTCCATGTGCATGAACTATCAGCAATATCTCCATGAAATACTCAAGGGGTTATTTTGCGTAGTCTCGTTTTGTTGTTGTATTTTGTGTAGAGGCATGGTAAACCAGCAGGGGGCGTCCCATTTCTATCGCGAAGGATGGAAGAATCCCGGAATTGCCATCACGCCGCCCGTTGTCGGCCATTTTTACAAGAACAGGCTCCCGAAATACGAAACACAACACAATCCCGTTATTTTTTGTAAACGTTAACGGAGTACACCTAAGCAGGGAGACACGTAAGTGCACGTTTGCCGGGATCATTTGCGATCTTAACACTGTGCTGCTTAGCTAGCAGCCGTTTACTAGCCGGGGCTTATGTAGTTGCCTGTTGTTGTCGTCCTAGCTAATGCTAGGCTAGCATACTGACATGCTAAAACGTTGGACCGGCTCAGAGGCCTCTTATCTAGTTATACAGTGAAATGTATCTTGTTTTTGTTATTTAATTGTCAGCTAAAGTATCGTTAAGTCCGGATGTATTTCAAACAAGCGACGTGAAAGTGACGTTAAACGCCAGCTAACGTTGACGTTACTTGATAGGAGATTGCTTGCTAGCCACCTTGCATAGCTAGCATGGGTAATAGCCTAACGATTGTTGGTGGTTGCTAGCTCCCATATAGATAGCTTAGTTTACTGTAGCTAGTTAACGCTATTGACTAGAATTCCCAAAATAACGTTTCTGTTAAAGTGCGTTGGCCGAAAAGCTCTTTTGATGGCTCCGCGTTAAGGTCCTAATAACGTTATGTTATACAGTTGCATGGAAAGCACCGCACTAATTAACTCGTTCGAGTGATCAACTCAGTGTTGGTGTTGTGTGCGCATTGCGACATCGTAATTAGGTGTAGCTTTGTGTTGTTTCTGTTGTTTCTTTAAACTCCAGCTAAATCTAGCTATGCGGCAACGTATTTTGTGAAGGCCATAAATCGTCAAATATGATTCAAATGATAGAATGGAACAGAGCACTAATTTATATTTTTAGGAGGTCTTAAACCTCAGAATGCAATTTAAATGTAGTAATTTACTTGTGTATTCTGGTCAAACACGTTCATATCTGATATTTAGAGTGTCTCCATTTGGTGGGTTGTTGCAGCTGTGTCTCTTCAGCGTTATTGTTTAATGGTAATGAAATATATGTGTCTTGTACTGTGTCGTAATGTGTCGTGTTTGAGCTTTTGTATTTGTGACCAATGCGTTGATGTTGTTGGAAATCTCTTTGTGTGAATTTATTCACAGGAACAGCAGCATGTCAGACTTTATTGAGAGCGAGGCAGAGGAGTCAGAGGAGGAGTTTGATGAGAAAGACCTCAAGCCGAAAAAGACCCAGAGGTTCTTGGAGGAAGATGGTGAGAATATAATGGTTTAGTTCTGGGTATGTGTTTCAAAGGCGGTACGCAGGGGGGGTTGCATGAGGTGTGAACCATTCGTCCCTCATTTCCCAACAGATGAAGAGGAAGAAGAGAACACAGAGGACCAGGACGAGCGAGGAAATTTACGCGGACTCATTGATGATGGAGAGGAGGAGGAGGAGGAGGGGGACCGCCCGAGAAGTGCGAGTGCAGCAGGGAGTGACTCAGAAGAGGAAGTCAGGCATCGGCGTAAAAAGCGAAGTAAGTGCACCAAATGTTTATAAAGCATTAGAGCCAACACGTGGCTCTCACTAACAAAAACAATGCAATCACTATTCATACATTGGATATTGTCAATTATGGGAAAATATCTTTCGCAACTGATGTTTGGTAATATTTGTAATACTGGTATTTCTTAAAATGTCTCGTTACCTGTGTTTAAAATAAGAACATCCCATTTACTATTGTTGAAGTTGTCTTTCTACTCTATTGATGCCTCTTTTTCAAGATGCATGTTTAAGCGTTAATGCTTTATTAGGTGATCGCCTCGTACATTAACAAGTTCATGTTATTTGGTGAGTGAGTGGATGGCGAGCACTCATGTGACATTTAAAATTATGCCACCCCTTTTGCCAATGTGTGCAAAGAATGTCCAAACAATCTATGAATGATGAAGGCTGTGACGGTAAAAAGTAGAATTGACTGGTGTTTTGCGTGTACATGTACAGAAACGTCAAACTGTAAGTAATTCAGTAACGGTGTTACCATTTTTCTTTTTTTCGTTCAACTTACAAGTTGATTTTTCAGCTGTAAAATGTCGTGCGTAGTATGTTATATGTTCGTTTGTCTTTTAAAACTGATACTATACCCTTTTATCTGATTTTTTTTATTTTACTTGTATCATAACATTAACCGCATCAGGTGGTAATGATGTTAGTTCTCTGCTGATGCAGTAAAATCAACTTAAATATTTTTGCTTTGCCATTATTATAGAAAGTGTATTTGTTGTGTCAGCCATATTTACCTTCATTTAACTCACAAATTAACAAATACTTGCCAGCAGCTTCTGTTAAGACTGCAAATATAGATTTTGAGTCATTGTCCTCCTACAGTCCCAAATATTGATTTTCATTTATAAACTGTCTAAATAGATTTGCTGTCCTCATACTGTAACATTTGATTTCTTCAACAAATAATCGTGTGTTTCACACACAAAAACAGGAGCGTTGTCTTTGCAGTTGTAGCTGTAGTTTCCACTGACTGAGACTTTTGCCATTTGCAGATTATGACGACTACCTCGATGACGATGATCTGGACCTAATTGAGGAAAACTTGGGTGTAAAAGTCAAAAGGAGGGTAAGAATAGTTTCTCATTGCTACTATCTCTGTAGTAAGTGTGTGAAAAATGTACTTTGCATCTCACATTTTTGTACATCTGGACAAAGCTCCCTCTAGCAGTGCTGATGTGCAACCTGCCTTGTGTCACAGAAAAAGAAGTACGACCGTGTCAAAACACTTGATGATGATGAAGAGGATGATGATCAGAAGGACATGATCGCAGATGAGATATTTCATGGTGATGCCGATGGCGAGCTAGAGGAAGGCGAGGCGGTCGATGAGCCTCTCCACCACGCAGATGACGACGAAGAAGGAGAGGACGAGGAGTCCGGTAGGCCAGAAACAATGCTTTGTTTAGTATTTAAGCAGCAAAGTAAACGCAAAAAAGTGATGCAAATTCAGTCCGCTCTTGTTTTTTAAATCATTGATTTGTTTTTTATTTTTTTAAATGCTGTTTCTCTCACAGATATAGACGATTTTATTGTTGATGATGATGGCCAACCCATCACCAAAAAGAGGGGCAAGAAATTCTCGGGATACACGGACGCGTGAGTATAGTTTATACAGCAAATCTGTTGTATAAAATATGAATCATTAGTAGGACAAGGAGTGTGCTAATACATATTTATATTTGATTGCTTCTCTCCTCTTCACATCCTCCCACAGAGCTCTCCAGGAGGCCCAAGAGATTTTTGGTGGGGACTTTGACTTTGCCGACTTTGACGCAGACGCATACGACCAGGGCGAGGAGGAGGAGGAGGACCAGGATGAGGAGGGCTGGGACCGACCCAAGAAGCAGACGAAGAGGAGGCAGGGGAGGAAAAGCATCTTTGAGATATACGAGCCTAGCGAGTTGGAAAGTAGTCACATGACTGACCAAGACAACGAGATCCGCTCTACGGATATGCCCGAAAGGTTCCAGGTGTGTGTGCGTGTTTGTCTGTCAATGCTTTTGATGTTAACACTGTTGATTCACTGTTGTCACATTATTATTCTGGCCTTATACCATAGAAAGCTGTCATTAAAGTATTTAAGTACAGTTAAGTATTGGCAACATATAGTCATTGATTATAATCGAGTGCCTTTTTTGCTGATCTCTACTCCATCTTATAGTTAAGGTCCATCCCTGTTAAACCTGCTGAGGATGATGAGCTGGAAGAGGAAGCAGAGTGGATCTTCAGACATGGCTTCTCCACTCTTACCATCTCCATGCAGGTACGCGTCCTTTGACAGACACATTCAGAAAATCGCGCTTGCACAATCGATAATAAGAACCTTTTTGGGGATTTTTAGTCATGATGCCTGCTTAGATTCTCCAGAGATCATTGGTTATCCTTAAGTCTAGCTCACATCTAGATGCTTTCTGGTTTTTGTCTTTTCCCTAACCAGGAGAGCACAGATTATTTAGACCGAGGGACAACCACAAACTTCAGCAGGAAAGGTCCCAGCACAATTGCCAAGATCAAAGAAGCCCTCAACTTCATGAGGAATCAACAATTTGAGGTACATTGAGCTCACTTCACTTATCTGTTTCTTTTGAGTTTATTTGTCTCTACAGACCAATAACATTATGTCTTTAGGAACACATGCAAAATGTGACATAATCTTAAAGAACTCATTTTATATTGTTCTTTTCTTCAGGTCCCATTTATAGCTTTCTACAGGAAAGAATATGTGGAGCCAGAACTAAACATCAATGATTTGTGGAAGGTGTGGCAGTGGGATGAAAAGGTAAACTTGTTATTGCATTTGTGCAGAAGAATGAAGAACAGACAAAAGGGAAAGTGTTTTTATAAAAGCGTGAATCCTCTGGGTGCACAGCCAGATGGGGGTGCTTCTTCTTGGGGTTTTGTAAGCCACTTCTGGTTTCCTGACTGAAACATTTTCCTCCACCAGTGGACTCAACTGAAGACACGAAAACAGAACCTTACCCGTCTGTTTCGGAAGATGCAGTCCTACCAGTATGAGCAGATCTCTGCCGACCCCGACAAACCTTTGGCTGACGGTATCCGTCCTCTGGACACCGCTGACATGGAGAGGTGCGTCTAAAGAGCGGAGGCTTTAAAAATAGAATCTCTTATTACGTGTTTTGTGCTATATTTGGTTGTTACTTCACTAGCCAGAGAATCTTTTCAGGAAATCAAATTGATAAAGCTCACGTG